AGAAGAGGATAAACATGGAAGCTCTTGAGTACAGAAGCTGACAGTGGAGTTCATAAGCTTTGTTAACATGAATTTGTTTTGTTTTGTTTTGTTTTGGATTCTGATTGAATCAGGGAATGGACAGTGGTACATTTAGTAAACATTCTGGGATTCTAAAACTGCATGTGGGCTTGTCAAGTTTGCAAAGAAAGAGGTAGTTAAGTGGCAAAGTGCCATCGTGCCAGTTTTGCTGGAAGGAATAGTCTGTTGGAAGGAAAAACGGTAAATCGTGGCAAGATGGGCTTGGTGTGCCCAGCTAAGGAATTACAGCTTGTTCTTTAGACTACCTAAGATACGCGAGGCCTCTGAGCCTGTGAAGTGACCTGATAGAGCAACATTTTAGGTTGGCTTTTCCGAAACAGATTCAGTTGTGGTCACTCCTTGCTCAAATCCTTCACCAGCTCCCAGGTGCCCTGAGCAGGACTTTCCATCCAGTGTGGCACACGTGGGTGACAGATGTGCCAAAATAGTGATCCCTTCAGCTGTGAATGGGGCCTGGGGCAGCCAGACCCCTGAATCAGCCCTTCCAGCCACAAGCAAGTTAGAAGGATATCATTTTCTGTGTAAGAAATGACACAAAAATGCTTGGAAAGCATCTCTTTTGCACAGGTACGAGCCCTTCCTGACACATTCCCTGCTCACTTGCTTGGGGTCACCTCCTGACATTTGCCCCAAAGCACTCTATTTAAGCCACCCCACCATCACACACCCCAGTTCCTGCATGCCCCGTCCTGCCGCTCTGCCTTTGTCTATGTCTCTACAGACGTCCCCGCCTTGTCTGCCTGGCCTGATCCTCACCCTGGATCCTGGCTGACTGAGGCCTCCCTCCTGCATTCCCTTAATAAGCAGGGCACATCCTTAGTGTCCACTTGAATTATGATGGTTTGCGTGTCTTCCACAGATGGGCCTGGCCAAGACTGAATGTTCTCCATCCAGTTAATATATGTTGAATTAATATTTTGAATGAAACCCATGAAATTGGGAAAGGTAGAGACAAATAACACGCACAAGTCTATTTCAGTTGTTTGCACCACATAGATGCCCAATAAATAACTACTGAATGAGTCAGGAAAGGAAGAGGTGCAAAAGCCGATTTACATGTAGAATCCATAGGACCCATGATGGTCTGAATGTAAGAGAGGAGGAAGATGGAGAAGTTCGAGATGTTTCGGGGCAAGCGGCACCCTCAACACAGTAACCCTTGTACAGCTTTGGAGGCTGGACCACCCCAGCTAAGCTCTCAGACATGTGCCCAACAAATCGGGATTAAGATGTGTATTGCAGCATTGCTTATAATAGGAGAAACATAGGAAGCAGCCAAAATGTCATTCATTCGGGAAATACATAAATAACGTGTGGTCTGTTTATACAATGAGTGAAGTGATGGCAAAGAATAGACTAGATATTGAAATTTTCACATGCTTTTAAGTCTTAAAAGACATAACATTGGGTGAAAGGGGAAGTGAGAATGGAAGGTAGGCACTCTGAGACAAAGCCCCATAGATTGTTGATTAATACATGCATAGAGAATAAAACTATGAACGCATGCGTGGAAGTGAAACCCAGCCCCCTCGGGGTAGTGGTTACCCTTGGGAAAGGGAGAGCCCGAGTAAGATGAAGGAGCTTTTGATTTCTCCATCATGTTGTATTACTCACAGCAAATGTGGCAATACATTACTCTCATTTATGAAACTGGGGTGGTGGGTATTTGTCATTTTAGTTTCAGGACTTTTCTGTTGGTTTGAAAGAGTTCATGCTTTTAAAAATTAACATCAAACAACAGAAAAGGCTGGGGAACCAGGAGAATAACCCCACATTTCTGCATTTAGGCTTCTGTTCTAGACACCCGCCTCTATTTCAACAAGTCTGGCACACAGGGTGGGATCCCATCGGCCACAGAGGACTTGCCAAATCTTAACACCATTTAAAAGCATCAATTCTCAGTTCAGTCCCCTGAGACTGATAGATCTAGCGACACCTCTAGAGACGTCAAAACGTGCATTAATATCTTCCATCACTGTTTATGGCTTCCACCCCTCCCCATTTTCTCTGTATATGAGAGCATCTCTCCAACCTAATTAGATTTAGTTTCTGCAGTAAGATTTAAGGACATTCTTTTACATGTGTGACTGGAATCGATTTTTTGAATCCGTCACTGTTTTCTCTTGGTTTGCAACTTTGTAGATTTTTCTTTTCTTTCTCCCCAAAAGAAGCAAGTATTATGCTTATGGTGAATTTCACTATTTCTAAAACTGCTTCCATGAACGCTTTCAGTGGTGTGCTAGAGCAGTTTGCACTGACTTGGGGGTGGGGGTTGGGGGCTGTCGACTGTGCGCATTTCTTCCCAACTGGGTGTCCGGTGACATCACATTGGTAGCTTGAAATCAGCCGTGTTGGGACTATTTCCACCATGGGAATCAGCAAGTGCTACCAATCAAGTCTCAGTTTTTTCCCTTGGAGAGCTTGTGGTCAAACCTTCGCTAGCCTACCACTAGGGGGCATAACCACTTTCTGAGTTGCACAGAGCAAGTACCATTTTTCTCGTTTTACACATACAGAAACCAAAAGTCACAAAAGGAAAAAGTCTTGGCCTGAGTCACAGGGCTCCAGTGCTGGGGCTCCGGTCTGTGTGGTGTAGATGAAGATGCACTGGCTTTGGAGCCAGGCAGATCTGAGTTCGAATCTGCTATAGCCTCTCTGATACTGTGAATTGTTCGAGTGTCTGACTTAGCCCCTCAGTTTCCCCACCTGTAAAATAAGGATGACGACATCTAGCCTGTAATGATCTTGTGAGCGTTAAGTGAAAAGACGTGTGCAAAACCTAGCACACCACAAAGGAGGTATGCAAAAGAGGTAATTTGACCTTTTGACTTACGATTGACTTAGGAGTTCAGATCTGTGTATTTTACCCCATGCTTACTATTACCATGTATATTTTTTTATTTCAGCTTTACCAGACCAAACACCTTGGATGAGACGGTGACTTTATTTTTACTCCAAATATGTGCCACTGGAATCGGGTTTAAAAAAGTCTCAGAGTTGACATTTATGTGTGATTTGGGGAATCGGGTTCTTTCCAAAAATGTTAGCGACGTATGTACTAGGTATCAACTAAGATCATTCGTCAGCTTCCTGGAGTTTTCTCCACTTTCTCCACTAAGCATCCTGAGCAGGATTTATTTGGGGGCCCATGGGTGCTACAATTCCATCCCCCAAATTAACTGCAGTGGCCTGCAGGGAAATTCTCTTGGCTGCTCATGTTCCCTGCTCTGGGCATTCTCTGCATGCTCCAACTGACCTGGGAGTGGACATACTTCTGAGTCATCCAGCAAAGCCAGAATCTGCTTTTCTTTTTAGACTTTCACTAGTTAATTTTTGCCTGAGTAATAAATTTTGGGTTTTTTTTTTTACATTTTAAAAAAATAACAGAAGGGTGTACAGTGACAGTTTCTCTCGCTACACAGTCCCCCATGGACCCAGGTCCCTCCCCATGAAAACTAACAAAACAAAACAAAAATGGAGCTCGTCTTCAAGACCAGCGTCAGCACTGCCTTCACTGTAGTTTACATCCGTGTTGGCTGTGGGGACCAGAGAAGACCTTGGAAATCAGGGACACTGCATCAAGCTCCTACTTCTTGTCAATAAATGCAAAGCCAATTGGCCAGACTTACCTAGAATAAAATTGCAGGGGAGCTGCTTTTTATCTATAAAGATAAATGGCGCAGATTGTGCAAACACCTTCCATCAGCTAAACCTGGTTGGTTGTCATATTTCTGGGGGAAAAAAAAAAAACATAGGGAAGAACCTAATGCTTATAGGGAATGTAGTACATATCAGGTGCAATATTAGGCTCTTTTTAAAATGAGTGTGGTAAAATATGCATGGCGTAAATGTACCTTTTTAACCATCTTTTTAAAAAAAAAATTTATTGTTATGTTAATCACCATACATTACATCATTAGTTTTTGATGTAGTGTTCCATGATTCATTGTTTGCGTATAACACCCAGTGCTCCATGCAGAATGTGCCCTCCCCAATACCCATCACCAGGCTAACCCATCCCCCCACCCCCCTCCCCTCTAGAACCCTCAGTCTGTTTTTTAGAGTCCATCGTCTCTCATGGTTCGTCTCCCCCTCCGATTCCCCCCCTTCATTCTTCCCCTCCTGCTATCTTCTTCTTTTCTTTTTTTCTTAACATATATTGCATTATTTGTTTCAGAGGTACAGATCTGTGATTCAACAGTCTTGCACAATTCACAGCGCTCACCATAGCACATACCCTCCCCAGTGTCTATCACCCAGTCACCCCATCCCTCCCACCCCACACCCCACTCCAGCAACCTTCAGTTTGTTTCCTGCGATTAAGAATTCCTCATATCAGTGAGGTCATATGATACATGTCTTTCTCTGATTGACTTATTTTGCTCAGCATAACGCCCTCCAGTTCCATCCACGTCGTTGCAAATGGCAAGATCTCATTCCTTTTGATGGCTGCATAATATTCCATTGTATATATATACCACATCCTCTTTATCCATTCATCTGTCAAAGGACATCTTGGCTCTTTCCACAGTTTGGCTATTGTGGACATTGCTGCTATAAACATCGGGGTGCACGTACCCCTTCGGATCCCTACATTTGTATCTTTGGGGTAACCTTTTAACCATCTTTAAGTGTACAGTTCAGAAGCATTAAGTACGTTCACGTGGTTGTGCGACCATCCCCACCATCCTATCTCCAGAAAGTGCTAGGCTGTTTTGCCCATCTCGTGTAGTGTTTGCAACAGCCTTTGAAGCTGTTGTAACATTCTCCATACAATGAGGACGTTTCAGAGAGAATGTGTCCCTGGCAGAGCCTGGGATGGAACCCATGTGTGTTTGTCTCCAAACCGTGGACAGGTGTGTGCCTGGCTCTGCGTCTCACTGTTGCTTTTCCCTCCTCCCTCCTCTGCTGTTACCCAGGAGTGATCCTGCTGCTTCTGGATAAACTACGGAAGATGAAATGGGAGCAGATGTGGAGGCTGACTGCAGAGAGGGAGCTGATGGGCATGCTTTCCACCTCCTTAGCTGACCAGGTGAGTAGCCAGGCTAGACGGTAGTTATTCCTGAGTACCCTTGCACTGTTTCTCAAAGAAGCCTGGAAGTATATGGGTCTGGATGATTTTTCCACTGACTGTGTGACTGTGCTCTGGGATCGATCTGCCTTAGGCTTGCCTGTCTGAGACAACAGTGGAACTTGGTTGTGAATTCATCTGTGCGTTCAGCAGCCTTTCACTGCACACACTGTGTGCCAGGGACGATGTTCAGAACTAGGATTGCAGAGATGAATGAAAGATGCAGTCCTTGGCCTCAGAGAGCTCATAGTTTATTGAAGCAGACCGATAAGTAAATGACAATCTGATGTGCTAAGGGGAGGTCGCTGTCTCCATCTGGGTATGGGGTGCGTAGGTCCTGCTCCTTGTGACCCCAGAAAACCACAGCCTATTTCCCAGACAGGATTTCAGTTTGCTTTTCTCACTTTTACAGCAGCACCTTTTCTTGAGAACCTGTGCCATGACCTTATCCTCAAGGGAAATGCATTTAAATGGAAGGGACAAACCGCCTGGCTGGAATAACCGGCTTCTAATCCAGGCAATCTGAAAAAGTCTATGCACTCCACCAAACCATTAGCATAAATTCATCAAAATCCCATGTCTCATTTTTTGCTGGGAAGTGCAGGTGCCCGAGCCTTTGACCTTGGCTCTACCAGGGTCACACTTTTAGACTTTGAGCTCCCTGTGGTATAGCTGGCCGTGTTGAAATGGAGACAAGACTTCTCTGGGTCCTCTGCATTTTTCTCCTTTCCTGTTCACCCAAAAAGCAAGCCCACTCCCATATGTTTTTGCTCCAAGTTCAGTGGTCTGATTCATTGTGTTTTTGCCAAGTTTTCTAATACAGAGGAAGCAAGAAACTCTATAGGGTTACTTTGCTATTTTTTTTTTAAGCATGGTTATTATTCAGTATTTCCCAAGCAGCCAGAAACTAATTTCCTTTTTTCAAACATGAGATCTGGTATAATGAATGAGTTAAAAATTACCCAGGTAGCTGTTTTAAACCTGAAGGGAAAATTGTCCTCCATCATCATTTTTTAAGTCAGGTCACAATGACTCAAGTGTGTCCCCAAAAGCTAGCAATTGCATGTCTGTGTCCAAGGAGGATACTTTATCCGGGCATCTCCTCCTGTGAAGGCACATAATTCACCTCCCGGCACCACCTGTCAGCAGCTAGTTAATAAGTATGGCCTGGTGCAGCAAAAGCTTGGAGAAAAGCCCGAAAGAAGGGAAGCCTCCCTAGAAAAGTCACAGTCGGATTTGGAGGTGGGGAGTGCGCATGGCCGAGTGGGCACCGTGGCCTGCAGGAAAACAAGGCGCATCCATCATCGAGTCCGCCAAAAGCCCCAGGAAGCGCTGCTGAAACAGCGCTGTAATTTGTCTCAGCCCCTGAATGAGTGGAGCCACTTGTCATCATGCAGTTTCCTCTCCTGGAGGCTTGGGATGGATGATGCCTCGATGAGGTGGGAAGAGAGGCAGAAAAGTGACTTCATTTAACATCTGCCAGCTCAGGTGGGAAAGACACTCCCTGTCTGCTCCCACATCCGCTTCCCTGATGGCGCCTTCTGGGGACCAGTAGAGCCCATGAGCGTCAAGTCAGCGTGGGACGTTCTCCCATCTCTGTCCAAACACAACTGCTTGGTTCTGGAGATGGGAATGCCCCGCAGTGCAAGCCAGCCTGTGTCGCAAGCAGGGGGCTCGAGGGAGGCCCTTGCCCAGGAAGAGCTCTGTGCCTCGAGAGTTGGCATCATAGGTGAAACCCAGCTGTTTTGACCATGTCTGGCTTTTCTCTCCCAGGATATTTTCAATGCCGTCATCAAACAGAACCCCTTCCTCGTGCATCAGCTCCCCTGCTTCTGGAACGTGCAGCTGTCGGACCACACCCGCTCTGAGCAATGCTACAGGGACGTGTCTGATCTGAAGGTAGAGGAAGGCCAGGCTGCGGTGGGTGTGGGGCAGCCCCGCGGAGGGGGAGAGGCATGTGCCGCCATGGCACAGGGGGCCGGCTAGGGAGGGCTCTTCAGGGGGATGAATGGTTCTGAGCTTTGTGTGCAGTGTGGTGAGAGAGATAAGGTTGTAGAAGAGCAGAAAGAATGTGCTTGTCTCCTTTGTTTTTTTTTCCCCTCTTGTTTGCTTTCTGGAAATCATAAGGCCTCCCTCCCTGCCTAAGAACCAGCTTGCCTGGTGATTCTTCTTGCCACCTGCTGCCGGCTGTTTTGGTTCATATCAGCTCCCCAAATCCAGTCATTTAATTCAAACAAAAACATTTATTGAGGGACTACCCTGTGCCAGGTGTCATAGATAGAACAACTTCCTTCCTATGTTCAAGTTGTTCGCGGCCAGAGGAGAGACCCAGGTGAGGGAAGGAATGTGAACACGCCTGCCAGGTGCCATGGTGGCCATGGTGGAGAGTGTGGGGAGGCACCAGACGTCTCATTCCACCTCACGCAGCAGTGACAGTGACAGAAAAGCCTTCGTCATCGGTCTCTAGGTACCAGACATAGCGGTAGGGCCCAGAAGCAACCAGCTTGAACCAGGGAAACCCGAAGAAGGTAGAAGGGCCCACAGTGACCCCCCTGGCTGAATACAAGCAGGCCCATTAGGTGACCCACCTCAAAATATCTGTAAGCCCTAGCTCACCAATGGGTTCCTGACACCCGGACACAGGTACCAAAGAAGGAAAATTCCAGAACTCCCTGTACCTCCTCACCTTCCCCCTTAACTAGAGCCCGCACCACTGACTCCTGGCAGACAGCACAGCCTCTGTTCTGCGTCCTGCCCGCCACTCCCTTGCCGTGTATTCAGTAAACTATCTCCTTTGTTCCGCCTCGGGTGAGTCCTTTCACTGCCTGCGTCCCTAGCTGCCGCCCCACCCCCCCTCCGATCAGGAGACCCCACATTTGATGGCCTGGATGGGGAGCCTTTGGGCCCCACCCCCCACAGTGAAGAAGACAGCATGTACAAGTTATCTGCTGCCATAGTTAATGTTGCAGAACAAGCTATTCTAACAGTGGCTTAAATCAACAACCATTTATTTAGCTGAGGAGTCTGCAGGTGGGCTGGCCGGCCATCTGATTTTCACTGGCTTGACCAAGTGTCTGTGGTCAGCTTTGGATCCAATGGCTGGTGGCTAGGACATCTTGGCCCTCCTCCGGTGTTTCCCATGTCCCATGAGCAGGCCAGTCCGGCTCGTTCTCATGGCAAAGCAGAGGTGGGAGAAGAATTTTTAGTGCTTGCAAGGAAAGCTTGAGTCCTTGCTGCTAATATCCTGTTGGCTGAGCCCAGAATTAAAGGGTGTGTCAGAATTTCCTACCTACAATGGGAGAAGTGAGGAACTGACCTCAGCTGGAAAGTGACAGAAGAAGGACTTGAACCCAGGCCTGTCTGACAGCAAGTGTGTTTCCCTCTCTGGCTATATCACACAGGAAGTAGACACGTGCAACCATAGGGAGTTGATGTCATTTAAAATGTATAGCCATTGCCCACAAGCCCATGCAATAACAATCATTTGAAAGTTTTAAAAGGAAAAAGGAACCCAAACCTTGCTTTCCGAATAAATCCATCTTTTCCAAGTAGCTTCTGGCCATGTCCACATATGTGTGTTGCCTCTTATTTATAGTCATAACACACATAGAATTTTGTATTCTTCTGTTACCGAGCCATTCTTGTTACTTTAGTTGTTGTCAAATTTTCACAAATATAAACTGTGTTGTAATGAACAGTCTAAAATTCACAGCTTTCCAGGAGTGAAATCACATAGTCAAAAAGAACGAACTTTGTTTTGTTTTGTTTTGTTTTACTGCATTACAAAATATTAGAAAGTGTTTAAAACAGAAGTACCTCCATCATTCATTCTTTCAATCAACTTTTATGCAGCTCCTTCGCTATGTCGTGTATTTCTTAGACATGAGGAAAATATATGATATACTCAGGAATATTTCCAAGACTGTCATGAACTAAAAGTTTAAAGGTGCGGAAAATAAAATCAACCCTGTATAGAACACCAAAAAGTACTGGATAAAAAATTTTTTTAAGGATTTGAAAGCATAGTCGATCAGTCCATAAAGTAAATGAAGTAAGCAGAGACCAGAAACGATGATAAAGTATGGATCTAGAAGGATAAGAAAAAGCAACTGGATCTGACATTTGCTGGCTATTTGCTGATCCTTAGGAGCTAGAGGCCTGGCCTAAAAATAATTTACTAAAAAACTATATAATTTACTATATAATTCAAACAAAGGAATGCTGTTTTTAGTGACACTGGGACATTAGGTCTAAATCCAAGTCATGCAAACCATGTGTATAACCATTCTATTAAAAGACTATGAGTGGGAATTTGGGTCCCAACCCCAAGAAAGACAAAAGATGCTTGCCAAAAGTCAGGATCCAGGAAAAGCGATATCCTCAGTGAATAACAAGTTTAAAAATATCCATAGGAGAACATGATAGAGATGTTAATAAAACATTGTTATATGTTTTATCCTTGGCTTTAGGTAAAATAAGAGAGACATGTTGCCCCTGAGAATTTCTCATTTCAAGCTTGTGCTCATATTATTTGGGGGGCTGAAATTTATATGTGTGGGACAGAAATAGAAAAAACATGAAAATGTGCCAGGCACCTGGCAGAAATAAACAGAAATCTAATCTAGAAGAATACTCAAAAACAAGAAAGACTTCAATGAATTCTTTAGGTGAAGTTTCAAGAAAAATGAGTTCTCATTTGGTAATCCCTAAATACATGGGGAAATAAGCCACCATGAGAAAGGGCAGAAACTGTAGAATTAAATCGCAAAGACTTCAGGTATTAGACTCATCAGATATAAAACATGAATATTTTTTATTATATGTAAGAAATAAAAGAGAATTAAAAGGATGGAGGAACAAGAGATTCTCAAAGGCAAATAGACCTGTTTAGATCAAACAGTACTTTTTGAAGTGAAAAATATAATTGTTGAAATTATAAATTAAATGAATACATTAAGCAGTAAATTAGACCCAGCTAAAGAGAGAATTAGAAGAGATAGCTGAAGAAATTATCCAAAACCCAGCACACAAGGAAAATGAGAAAAACTGAGAGAAGTTAAGATATTGGGATGTGTCTAATTAGACTGTCAGAAGGGGATAATAGAGAAAATTGGAAGTGAAGCATCTTTATAGTGAATGGGAATTTTCCAGAACTATTAAAAGGTATCCATAAGAAAGTGGATTAAAAATATGGAAGATTTGAGCTACACAGTTAAAAATCCTGATTTATTGGGCAATTAAAGAACCTTGTACCTAACAGAGAATATACATCCTTCTCAAGCTCACATGAGACATTTATCATAAGTAGCCATGTTCTGGACCATAAAGTAAGTCTCAGTATGTTTCAAAGAATTATATACATATTATTAATATATATATTTATATTATATATTATATATATATTAAAGATATAATATATATCTTTGAACACAGTATAATTAAATAAGCAGTAATAAGACTTTTAAAAAATATATTTGATTAAGGGGCGCCTGGGTGGCTCAGTTGGTTAAGTGTCTGCCTTCAGCTCAGGGCATGATCCCAGGGTCCTGGGATCGAGTCTCGCGTCAGGCTCCCTGCTTGGTGGGGAGCCTGCTTCTCCCTCTCCCACTGCCCCCTGCTTGTGCACTCTGTGTGTGTGTGTGTGTGTGTGTGTGTGTGTGTGTCAAATAAATAAAATCTTAAAATATATATTTGATTAAAATTGAGAGCATACTTCTAAATTACTCATGATTCCAAACAGAAATCATAATTGAAACTGAGACCTACTTAGAACTGAATGAAAATAAAAATGATACAAGTCAAAACTAGTGAAACGATACAGATATATGATATGTGAAAAGGCAAGGCACCATAAAATAGAGGAGATTTCATCTGTGAACTTTCAACTTAGACAGTTTATAAACACCAACAAAGCTAGCTAACTGTCCAAGTGAAAGTATGTCACATCTGCCCATCACAGACATATCAGTGCATTCGTGCATTTACTGAGTGGTTCCTATATGCCAGGCACTGTTGCGGGCCCTGTGGATGCAATGGGAAACAAAACTGACAAAGTCACCAGTCACATAGAGCTGAGATGCTGATGTGGCAGGTGGCTACGTCACTTTGACATTGCTCAGTGATTGCTTAATTATTGTCGCTTTGAACCTATCAAACAGAATAACTTGTGAACTCTTTTTGGCAGCCCATTCTGTGTTTAAGTAGAGGACTTTCAAATAGCAAAACCAGGAAGACAGAGTCAAATCAAGTGAACTCCTATCTTTCTAGATAAACCTGAAAAACAACCTGAAGTCATTTTACCCACTAATATCTTATCTAACAAAATCTTAGACAGAACCCTAAAATATGGCCAATGTATAAAAGTGGGGAAAGGGTTCAGGGTGGAAGGAGAGAGACTGGCAGGCCCAAGTTCCACCCTTTGGGTCATATTGGGGTCTGGACATTGCCATGGAGCCCGAGGGCCTGGTTTAGTAACACAGCGTATCTGTAGGTCCCTCCAGGCCAACGTGGGCCTCACATTCCAGGTAAAAGTGCATGTTCCTCATTTTCTTTCTTATCATTCTTTCTTCTTCCTCCTCCCATCCTTTATGTCCTCCATTGTATTCAACAGTTATGGAAGACCTCCTATTTGCTGGTTCCTCTGTTCCTTCCTGGGAAGAACGTAGATATACTCTGAACCCTGCTCTCCATCAGCTCACACTCATGCTCCACAGGGTAGCCAAGCTAAGAAGCCCACCTGTGGGTCACACAGGGCCCCTGCACTGGGTCAGCTGATTGAAAATGTCTGTTCAGCCAAGAATCCTAAAAATAGGTTAACCTTGATTTGCTTGTCTGTTCAACCAAGGCCAGCTTTTTTGTTTTTTGTTTTATTTTTTCTGCTGATTGTTCTGTATTATCCTGCATAGACACCTCTCCTTATC